AATGTGGTCTTGTTTGGTCCCCATCACAAATGTCTCAATATCTTGGCCCCCCCTCGGTCCATATGCCACAATATATATATCGACAGATAGCTATGGATGAGCAGTCTATATATTCAGAAATAATCTGGATGTGGCCAGTGCAGCTACCACTATTCACAACACCAGATCCTATCAGTGCCACAATTGGAAAAAGCGCCCATGGCACATGACCTGATGACATCACTGCCTCACCCCCAAGTGTTATATACCACCAGGTTCAGAATTTCAATCTCTATCCAATGGTGCTGTCTATATGATTGTTTAATGATCCTAACAAAGGCTCAAACCATCATGAATGCAGTGTTACAGCTAATATGCACTATTGGACCATATATGGCAATCTGATCAAGCATGAGGTTACATAATCATGCTGAGAAAGTGTGTTTCATGGTGCAATCCATGTTTGAAGACATCTGATAATCATGGAAGCACCTAAAAACATTGTCTTGCTGAATATACCTGGTTGCTGTTCAAATGGAGGGGATATTGTAAGCATTAGAAAAATAATGTATCAGGAGTAATTTGAATCTGATGAACAGGATCAGGCCATTTATCAAAGGCCTGTTCAATAAGGGTCCTAAGCAAGGTATGTCTGATCTATTGCATGCCATAAAAGCAGCTACAAAGATAGATGTCTTGCTGAAAATCTTTGAACAAAATCAAGTAGGCAGTAGGTATGGGTAAACTCTTACTTAGAAACTGTCTAGGGCTTCAATAAAGGCCAATAATGATAGAGAATCAACCTCAATCAACATGTCAATTAAATGACTGTCATATGGCATAAATAACTCTGCACTTATGGTGTCAATATATGGCTCCATTTGCTGATGTGGCTAGGTTTATAAAAACAACTGGTTGATGCTAGAGATTGAAAAATGCTATAAGAGTGTCTTTTGCAGAGTGAAATAACCAGGTGTGCAATAAGATGGAGTCTGGGTTGAGCTGTGTTATTAAATGATCAAATGAGGACATCTTGTTCGAGGGTGAGCACTGCCGCCAAGCACAGTGTGAGCCCATCGCCCAACTGTTTGCTCTAGGATGTATTTCTGCTTATGCAAGATCTGGTATTCCTACTCACCTGACAAAGAACTGACTAGTTCATTCCCTTATACTGTACTTGTAGAATAGCTTGAATATATGCAGTGTTAAGTGAATGCTCATTGTCTTTTCCCACTCATAGCTTTGTTTATTCAACACATCTGCACTATGAGTATTCTTTTGTAGATGATAGTAGTGGAATTGATTCAAAATCAATGCATGCAGATGATCTGGATTGTTCAAAGTCTCATATCTACTATATTATTAACACAGCGTCTATAATTTGTTCTGTACCAGATTTGAATGCATCATTAATCTAAATTATCAGTCCAACTATATGAATATACTGCAGGATACATACCCTCATCAATCAGACCTGCCAGTCATGGCCCTCTTCACCCAAGTATTTGTCACAAAGAGTGCAGGGAGGAAATGCGTAGCACTTACCTTGTATTGTAGTCTATCCCTATTTAGTTTCACACTGTAGTATGCCTGCTTCTGACTTTATATATGTTACAAATACCTGTGTGTAGCTTATGCCACTCCCATGTAACCCAGCATGCAGTTAGTCATCAATATAACAATGTTGTTTGCTTATGACTTTGTGCCTCGTCAAGATTCAAGTCAACATCCACTCAAGTCTTGTGTCTTATAAGCATTTTTGAGGCCCTCAAACCTCTGTTAAATGATTGCATACCTGTTACATCCCATGCAACAGCAACTCCAATTTTCAGGACTTCATTCCAACTACCGGGACTTGTGGAATTTAGTAGTTATTGTATCCGGTTGCGAGCGAGACGAGCTCGCCTTGTTCTCGTAGTAGTTACAATTGTTTTATTGTTTGTTGTATTTACCTAGTGACGCGCCACTCATGTATGTATATAATGGTCCGCTCGACATTGAATATACACACGTGTTTGCACTCGGCCAAACGCGCTCCCTCGCGCTCTCACTCGCTCTCACCCGCGCGCTCGATTCTCCTACAGGACTTGCGCCCTTTTCTGGGATGTATCTCATTTCCGGGACTTGGTACTGTACTTCCGAACTCCCAGAACTCGGGCTGTACCTCTGGCCTTCAACTCCCGAACTCCTGAACCTCTGTTCGTATTTCACATGTCTCAGATGGTGCCATTCTCTCTTTGTTAGTGCCATAACAATAGGTTTATTGTCTTCTGCTCTGGAACTCCATTTCCGCACTTCTTTATTGTCTCGGCTAGACAATAAGCTTATGTACTACTTATACTGAGCTGGAATACTGTAATTACTCAGTTGGAATATCTTGTTTACCATATTCCCTTCCATCTTGTTTGTTACCTTCCATACCTCTCCTCGCTATCTTCACTCTAACTACCTGTCAACCCCCTAACCTCTGAACCTCCGAAATTAAGGACAAACGGAACAAGTCCCAGGGTGTTGCTAATAGCTTCGCCAAAGTCCTCCCGCTGAGTCATCATTCACTAACCTCCGAACCCCCGGACGTCCTGAACCTCCAGACTCCGAACCTACGTACCCCCAGAACCCATACTACCGCATTTTTGGGTTTTCGAACCTGCGCATTTTCGGACCTTCGGACTTCTGCTCAGCACACTCCTAACAATACCTGCAAAAACACAGGTAATTCAGTGACCTATAATGACCTACACATAACCTGTTTGTCAGCTAGTTAGCTGCTGGATCAAGCCATTTTTGGGACCCTGAACTAGATTCACAGCTGCTTCAAAGTTCACAGTGTAGGTACCCATACTATGTGATCTGCACCTACAGGTAATTCTGTGGGGTGTGAGGTCAGAGGTCATTGGTCAGAGGTTGGACAGGAGAAATTTGAAAAGCAGAGGAGATTAGATTAGGAATAAGATGTCTAAATTGAGGTACTTTGATGTCCTGAGCACATGTTTATGTGTGCAGACCTTATTGTCTAGCAGAAACAATAGCAAACAGCAACACAAAATTTGGAACCTAGAGTAGATATGGAACTGTGAAGCCCAAGGGTCCAAAACAGTAAACTAATTGTCTAAGTGGGTATCCACAAGGCACAATGGGTGAGCTATAGAAGGTGTGTTGCTACTATGTTGACAGATGGGTGATTGCATAAGTGTGCCAATGTGTGGCACAGTGCTTGGCCAAGTGCAAACATATGTGTATATTTGATAACGAGTGGGCAGTTAAATATGTACAGGAGCTAGGACCTATGGGAGACAATAAAAATATTGAGTACCATAGGAACAAGACAAGCTTGACTCACTTGCTACTAGATACAACAAGTGCTAATTTTCATAAGGGATGTGGAAGGGTATTGGCAGAAGGCTCCAGGGAACTGGCATGTGGGTGTTAGGACCGTGCTGTCCAGGATTGAAGTCCGGATTAGCCGGAGTTTGGGGTTCGGAAGTCCGAGGTGGACTTAGCGGCACAGAGGTGAGGACGCTGCAAAGCTATTAGCAATGCACTGGGCAAACTCGTCGAGTCCTCTATTTTGGAGGCCGGAGTTCGGGGTGGACGGAAGTCCGGTAGAGCCGGAGGGAGAAGTGGGGAGAAGGCTGAGGGCGAGTAAGAGTCAAGCAGAGAGGCGGAAACGAAGTCCAAGGCGGACTTTGGTTTTGGGGTCGGAGGTCGGAGGTCGGAGATCGGACGGGAGAAGTTAGGAAGCAGAGAAGGAGATCGGATTAGGGAACGAGATATCTGAACTGAGGTACTACGACATTCCGGGCACGTATTTATGGGCGCGAACCTTATGGTCTAGCGGAAACAATAGCGAAGGAAGAATATGAAATCGGAACTCGGAGTACGTGCGGAAATCTGAAGTCCTAGGTACGAAAACAATAAGCTAATTGTCTAATCGAGTGATAACGAAATATGGCGTGATGTGCGATAATCGGACGTACGGAGTTCGGAACTCGGAGACGGTGTTCAGAATCGGGGTTCGGATCGGGGTTCGGCGCACGGGATGTAACAGTGGGTCACTTAATCTGCATATTGTAGTCTTTCAAATGTCACATACATCAGATAAAATGGCCTATAATGGATGGCAATGAACAAGGAGAGAATGTTACACTCCGTGCGCACCTCCGCTCTGAACTCCGGAATTCCCGCACTTCGGACTCCGTACTCCAAGTTCCCGCGCTCCGGACTTCATACTCCAACATTCCCGCACTCCGGAACTCCGAGATTTCACGTGTACGTTCCCTTATGATTGCACCATCCTTCCATCATCTTGTCCTTTAACAATAAGCTCTATTGTCTTTGTCCCCGGACTTCGGAACTCCGGAATCTCCGAACTCCGGATTTGTTATTCCTCTCGCTCTTATTGTCTTCCTTAACAATAAGGTCCTTGTCCATAAATACGCGCCCGGAATGCTGTAGTACCTGAGTTCGGATATCTTGTTACCCTCCTCGTTACCCATCTTGTTACCCTTCTCGTTACCCATCCCGTTTACCCCCTCGCTACCTTCTGTCTACCTTCCTTCACGCTACCTCCCTTGTCAATCTATTCCCTTGGTCTACCTCCGTTCTGACCTCTGAACTCCGACCTTCCTAATCCGGTAACTCTAAGCCTACAAGCTCCGGAACTCCGGACTTCGGACTTCATTTGATCTTACTCGCTCGACAAGTCCCCTTGGACTTCATCCCTCGCCATCCTCTTCATCCTCTTCTCTGTTCTGCTCCGATCGTCTCAGACTTAGTTCTGCTTAGTCAGCGTGGAACTCCGGCTTAGTCAGCCCAAAACTCCGGTCAAGTCCGACCCCCTCGTTCCTTCAGAAATTAAGGACAACTGCAGGAGGTCTCAGAGTGTTGCTAATAGCTTCGCTGAAGTCCTTCCCCTCCGTGCCGCACCTCCATCCGGACTCCGTCCGAACTCCGGACCCTTCCGGACCCTGGAACTCCGAACTCCGGACCTATCGTGTGGCACGTCCCTAACAGAGAAATCCATTGTTGCAGCATTTCATCTATTGTAAAAGCTCCAAGCTTTCAGTGTAGTATGCACAACAAAATGTAAATGAAGCTGGGTCACCTGGGTGCTAGCTTGTTGCAACATTGGCTCTGCAGTGAACCCAAATTTACATGTTTGAACTTCAGCTTTCTGCATAGCATGTTTCTGACAAAACCCTGCAAATACTAGTCAGAACTTAGTTCACAATGTCTTCATGAAAGCCCGGAATAAATGACCCCAATGATAGCATGCAATACACATCAATTAGATAGAAACCCTGCAGGAGAGTGCTGTACTGGATGCCATTACAAATGCGCGGGTATACTAGGTTCTCGTGCGGGCGCGCCATGCGCCATCTAGTGTATCTAGCAAGCCCTGTACCTCCTTGACGGCGCCCTTGCGCTCGCGCCGGGCCTCCTCCCACTCTCCTTCTGCGGTGATGGCGTCGAGACGGAGGAGGCTCTGGAGCAGCAACTCACCGAGACGCACGTGTTCGTGCGCAAGGTCGGAGGCGGGGGCCTGTGGGGCCGAAGCTGCGGCAGAGGCAGGCTTGGGTGGCGGTGCGGTGACGGTGCGAGACGGGCGGACTTGTGCAGCGAAGGAGGAGGGGGCGATGACGGTGAGGAACGCGTCGACGTCCGGGCGAAGGGTGGCCCGGACTTTATCGAGCTCAGATCGGATCTGGGAGATGGTGGACGCCTCGGTACGGGGCGCCTTTTCCTGGCGCGCGGACGGGGCGGGGGGGAGGGGCTCGCCGCCGCCAATGAGAGCGATCGTGCTGCCGGCCTTGATGCCATAGGCAGAAACTGTGGATGACGTCAGGACGAAGGGGATCACATGGGGTGGAAGCGGACAAATGAGGGGGTTCGAAGGTGTGGTGGTGACGGCAGGGGTCTGCACGCACAACATGAGGGCGTGGAAGGCAGGGCGGAAGCGAGTCCGATAGGCGGAGGCGCACAGGGAGATGCGAATGAAAATAGGAAGGCAGCGAAGATGCCGATCGATGGACGCTCGACACGTTGGGGCGGAGAGATGGGGGGAGTGTATGCGATCGGGAGGAAGGGGACGTACTCGGTGCGTTGTCGTCCTTCATGACGGCGCCAGCATGGATGAGCTTAAAAGAGTGCTCGGGCAGCTGCGTGTACTCCGCAATGTCGTGGCGCAGCTGAGCGAGCGTCGTGCTGGGCGCAGGAAGGGAGAAGTGTAGTCTGAAGACGAATGACGGAGATCGAGGACAGGAGCGGGGCAGGGTAAGGCATGGCGAAGGGGAACGAAGGGGATGCGTCAGTGAGGACGGAGGAGAGAAAGAAGAGGAAGGGCGGACCTCTCCCGACCCCATTTGACGAGGATGCTCATGCGTTTGCGTTTTGAGCGTGTAGATCCGAAGATGCGCTTCGCTTGGGAAAACAGGACGCGGGCGAAGAGGAAGGCAAGGGGAACGAGTGCCGCTAGCGAAAGTAGGGTAAGACGGACGGGGGAGGACAGGAACAGGGTGAACTGCGTACCGAGGTAGACCGGAGAGAGCAGGGTAGGCGAGGCAAGCGCGGCGATGCGCCTGAATGAATCCACGGTGGCAAGCGTTGGAGCGGGAGGGGATGAGCGGGGAGGCGTGGAGAGGCGATGAGCAGGACGAGGACGCCGTCCACCGACGCTCGCCCGCCAGCGCGCGCGTGGGAACGACCTGCCTTGTGCGAAAAGCTAGCACTGGTTGTAAGCGGCACTAGTGTGAGTTAATGATGTCATTGATGCCTGCTTACTGAGTCCGAGAGACGCCCGTGAATGAATGGGTTCCGCTTACCTTTCCTTATATCGCCCTGTCCTTTTCTCCTCCCGCCGTCCTCGTCTCCCGTCCGCCGTCCCTCCTCTTCCTCCTCCCCCCTCCTCCTCCCCGTCTTTCTCTCCCTACCGTCTCTCCCGTCTCTCCCGCCTCTTCTTCCAAGTCATGTCCAACTCGTCCCAACAAGATGGCGGTGTCTCTCGTCCCGCCCCCGTGCCCATCCCCGGACGCGCCCCCTCTGCCAACCCAGGTCGCTCAGTCGCAGGCCTGCTCAGCAATCGCAACAGAAACATGGGCTCCACTCCAATCCCCCCTTCATTGCAAGCCAAAATGGCTGCTGTGCGTACCCATCCGCATCCCGCTCCTTATCGCACTCTGATCTGTCTGTTCATCCTTTTCCATCCCCTCGCCGCGCCTCTTGTCTCTCTCCCAGTTTGCCAGTCGCGCTCCCAACAGTACCCCAGTTTCCGTAGATGCTGCCACTGCAGCACTCAAGAACGCCGGCCTCACCGACAAGCCCGTCCGCCCGTCCCCTCCCAACCCCTTGCGTGCACCCGCCTCCGCTCCCGTCCCTGGCCGTCCCGGCGCGCCGACCCTTGGCGGTCTAGCCGCCCGTCGCATAGGCAAGAACGTTCCGAAACTCAGCGGCATGGACATGGGCCTTCAGAATGCCGGTCTTGGTAGCGGTCGACCCACCCAAGACGAGCCCTCGAAACGCAACGCACCAAACTCTTTCTCTACTCCCTTTTCTAATTTTGGCAAGATCGTGTATGTGCATGCTGCCTTTCTTGTTATCTCTCTGGCTCACCCCCCGCGCAGAGATCCCTCAGGCGCACTCAACTTCAATGGCAAGGCCGTCCTTCACGCCAAAGGCGTCGACTTCTCCAACGGTGCCTCCTTCGCCATCAACATGGACCAGCTGCAGCTCGACGAGGAGCTCGGCAAAGGCAACTACGGCACCGTGAAGAAGGTTTTCCACAAGCCTACCAAGGTCGCTATGGCCATGAAGGTGCGCGGGTCGCGTCCCGATGAGCCACAGCCTTCTTACCTCTTGTCACAGGAAATCCGATTAGAGTTGGATGACGCCAAACTCAACGGCATCATCATGGAGCTTGACATCTTGCACCGCGCTGTCGCGCCAGAAATAGTAGAATTTTACGGTGCTTTTTTCATTGAATCGTTCGTACCCTGTCCGCGCTCGTGCTCGCGCAAATGCTCATATTCTCAACCGGCAGATGCGTGTACTACTGTATGGAGTACATGGATGCAGGATCCCTGGACAAGCTCCAAGGAGAGGGCGTCCCGGAAGACGTCCTTGGCCGCATCACAGGCAGCATGGTTCGCGGTCTTAAATTTCTCAAAGACGATCTCCAAATCATACATCGAGGTACATCGCCTGAAGTGCTCAGTGTCGAGCCGCCTACTTACGTTGGCTGTAGATGTGAAGCCTACAAACGTTCTCGTGAACAGGAAGGGTGACGTCAAGCTTTGTGACTTTGGTGTGTCGGGCCAACTGGAGAAGTCGCTGGCGAAGACCAATATCGGTTGCCAGAGCTATATGGCTGTACGTGCCCCCTTTGAATAGCGCAGGTGTATCGTGACTCATGAGTATACAGCCCGAGCGGATCCGAGGCGAGTCGCAGAACAACATCGGCACATACACGGTGTCCTCGGACGTGTGGTCGCTTGGCCTCTCCATGATCGAGATGGCGCTCGGGCACTACCCATATCCACCAGAGACGTACGCAAACGTCTTTGCGCAGTTGACGGCCATCGTCGACGGTGACCCTCCTGAACTCCCCGAACACTTTTCGGACATCTCCAAGGACTTCGTACTGCGGTGCCTGCACAAAGTCCCGGAACGGAGAGCGTCGTATGCGGAGCTTCTCGTGAGCCAACTTCTCTCGGCTGCGATGGAGTAGGGTCATGATCGCTGATCTATCTCGCGCCCCCTCCCAGGGTCACCCGTTCCTCGTGAAGGACCGCGAACGGGAAGTGAACATGCCCGCATGGGTGGAGATAGCGATCAACGCGCGAGAAGCTCGCAGTCGTGAACACCTAGCCGCGCAGAACGCCGCGACGTGACCCCGTCGCGCTAGGCGCACTTGTCCGCTGCCCGCTGGCCGTCCGTTTACTGCACGCACTGCGGCCCCCAGCTTTGTCCGACTGCGGCGCCCCCCACCGACTCGTCAACGAACAGACGCCCTTCCATCTCCATCCTCTCTGCTCCGCTCTTTTCCAACAACCTCTCACCGCACAGTTCTCGGCCCGACCCCTCCCAGGGCCTGCAGCCATCTCATCCGCTTGTCACTCTCATCCCCCCAAAGCTTGCGGGTTAATCAAGACCTTCGCTACATTCCGATATCACGCCGCCATATGCGGTCCAGCTGTCGTCCTGCAGAGACGACTCAAGACGTGTTCGGGGCGCACGAACAGCGGACGAACATTGTAGCTTTCCAACGAACTGCTCCGCACCGTCATGGTGTTCGCCAGCGCCTATACACACGATTTGGCTCTCGGCACGCCATCGACGGTGGGAAATACTAGGAGCCCTCGCCAGAGGGCGGGAGGCTCAGAGGAGGGGTGGTTAGGCGACGGCGGAGCGTGCAGATGAGATCAAACGGGGTCACTGTTCGGGGCGGGGTGAGAAGGGGATATCGTCCGAACATGGCAAGATCGTGCCTTGTGTCGACTACGTCCACGCGAGGGTGGCAGTCGTATAGTAACCGTCATCGCGCAGCCACTGGCTGGGTGCGTTCAGAGACACACGTACATACCGTAAACGTACTGTACCCATACCCGTACCGTGTAGTACTGCGTCCGCTGGCGAGCGCGGGTGTCTGCATGCTAATGTATATATGTCACGTACTACTGCTCCGAGCTAGAGCCAACAGTTAATATTACATGCACGGTGTTCGACGCGGTACCGCGAAGGGTGGATGTCGTGGCGCGCCTCCATGTGTTCACGTGACACACGCAGCACTGACACGTCCGCGACGCCCACACCGTTCTCGCTCGTCGCGCCACAACTACCTCTGCTCTCTTCTCGTTCTGCGGGCTCCTCCTTTGTACACACGTCCCGACGTCCCGCCTTTCTCTCTCGGGCCACGACCACGCCAGACGAAACAACATGTGGCTCACGGATGCGCAAAGTACGTCCATCTGACTGGCGTCTTGCGTGCGAAGCACTCACCGTGTCCCTGCCCACCCAGAAATCGGCGTCGCGCTGACGTCCTTCGGGGGGCTATTCATGCTCCTTGGCGTCATCCTCTTCTTCGACGGCGCGCTCCTCGCGCTCGGAAACGTACGTCCGCCGTCCTCGTCCTGCTCCCCGCGCTCCGCCCGTACCTAAGCCCTGTCCCTGCTCCTCGTGCCCACCCCGCAGATTCTGTTCCTCTCCGGGCTCACCCTCATCATCGGGCCCTCCAAGACGTTCTACTTCTTCGCGCGGAAACAGAAGCTGCGGGGCACCGTGTGCTTCATCGGCGGCATCCTCCTCGTGTTCTTCAAATGGCCGTTCATTGGGGTCATCGTCGAGACGTTCGGGTTCCTCAACCTCTTCGGGTGCGTGTTCTCCCGCATCTGCTCTGTGCCCCCCTGGCGGAATCGCGGTCGGCTGACCACCGCTGCATTTTGCGCGAGCAGGGACTTCTTCCCGGTCATTCTGACGTTCCTGCGACAATTACCGGGTATCGGGCACGTACTCGCCCTCCCCTACGTTCGCGACGTGAGTGTGCTCAGTTTACGTGCATACCCGCTCATGCTGACGTGCAGTGGTCATCTAGGTAGCAGACCGGATGGCGGGCTCGCGGACCTCTGCTGTATGATGAGCGCATATATTCCAGTTTCCATTCAGGGAGAGATACACAGCACGCCCGCGCGTGCGTCCCACGAGGCACCGGGGCGCAATTATGTCCGGCTTTCCAGAACACACCGGAGGTAAGTTGTTTGCGGCGGAAGAAACATACAGCTCGTCGAGGTTCAAACTGGGAAGTGCGTTTCGCACATGGCGTCCCATGGCGCACTCCCAGCCTCGCAGCGTGCCGCCACAGCCCCCGGGTCCATCAACTACACAAGGTTATAGTTCAAGAGCCCACCGCCAAGTCAAGCCCTTGTTTTCGCGCGTCTTGAATGGAATGCCCCCAATTGGGCACTTGTAGTGCACGCGAGTGGAGGCCAGGGCACCATTCACATGGAAACGTCGGAAGGAAGAGCGCTGCGCAGAAAGCGCCACGGTCGAAAGACCAAGTATTGCAACCACCGCGTCCTATCTGTTAGGAGATGTGAACCGCCGCGGTCGGAGTAGATGCAGGGCGCCGCACGCGATCGCCGACGGACCTGAGCACAACGATCGGTGCACATTGAGGAGGATGCATACCGGCACCCGAAGAGCGCGAGAGGAGTCGGGGTGGTGCGTCGACGGCGCTGAGGCGGTACGGAGAGCTGGGCGGCCGTGAGTTCGCCACGGAAATCCGACGCGACTAAGGAGATCGTTCGATAGGAATGCGCAGTTCCTTGGAGTGGTACGACAGGAACTGTGCAAGTGCGCAGGGCCGTCGGGTAGCGGCGGACGTTGCGTGTCGGCGCAGACCGTTATTCATTTTGTCGGCTGCGTGTGTTATTGAGGACCAATTATGGACGCGTAAGGCGCGAGGCGGCACAGCGAGGAGATCAATTGCAACGGGGGCCGGGGTCATGGTAGCCGTCGCCGAGTCAGTGAGAGTCGCGTCGCGTCGCGTCGAGGAGAGCCGAGCCGTTGCCCAGATACCCCAGCTCCCGACGCGTTCGCCATGCGCCGACGTCGCCCGACGCGCTCGCCACGCACCAACGCGTTCATTTGAGCAGAGTAGTGCACCCGACGCGCACCAGAAGGCGCGCGGAAGCAAATATTAACGGACTCAGATGGGACGAGTGATCGATAGCCTCGTGGGTTGGAGTGCCTGTAAAGGCAAAAGTTAGGCTGATTGGAGCGGAGTGTGAACAGCGATTAGCGCGGTCACATGACAATGTTGAGATTGGGTTCGCACGCGCCGTGGCCAGCAGCACTCCCTACTACTTCACCCTCCCCGCCGTCCCGCTCTCCTCCCGCCCTCTCCTCCTCGTCCCCGCCTCTCTCGACGGCGCTCCGCCGACACGTGTTCTGACGCTCGACTCGTTCCGCTTCACGTTCTCGACGACCTAGCCCCGGCGCACGACGACCTACCACATCTCTTCTCATCTGTACCCTCACCTTCCTTTGTCTCTACCACCTGGGTCTCGCTATGCTCCTCTCTCCCAATCCCGAATATGTCTCCTTCAGGCCCTCAAAACGTGACTCCAGCATGTCGCCCTCGTGCCGTTCATCCACCTCCCTCCTACACAGCACGCCCCCTAGACGACCCAACTCCTCGTCCTTTGCTTTCGACTCTCCCATGCTCACCCCGTCCCCGCTCAGACGCCAGGCCTTGCCTATTCCAGCACCCGTAGAGCAGGATGATATTTTCCAGTCCCCTTTGCGCGCATACAGTGCGTATTCTCACCGCTCATCATGCGCCCACGACTCCTCCATGGTTGTCGACGACGAAGACGATCTGTTCCTCGGTCCCTCTTCGTCCTCATCCTCCCATATCGTCCCTCCATCATCTCCCGCACCTCTCCGTACCCCCCTCCGCACACCGATCAAGGACTCGCCGCAATTTTCGCCTGATCGTGCTCCATTGTCCCTCAAGCGTCCCAACGCTGCCTCATCGTTGATGGCCTCCGCAAGCGCCGGCACTAAGCGCAAACCGACGCCCATTTGCACCACCCCCTCACGCAGCCGAACTATGACGCCTCTCAATGTCACTTCCGCCGCCATTACCCGTGATTCTGGCGCCCTGCTCTTCGATCGCCTCGCTCCCATCTCCGCCCCTCGCTTCTGCTCTCGTACACCTCAAAGCAAGGCGGAGACCGAACTGCATCTCAGGAAGCAGGCAGAGACGATGACCATGTTGAGCATTCGCGATCTTGATCACTTTCCAGATGAGAGCGACCATGACTCGGATGTCGACGGGAAGCGGACAATAGAGTACCAGCAGCGTCTCTTTCGGGCAACTTCCGGCGGCTCTGCAGCACCATTATCCTCTATAAAGCCCAGGACGCGACTCAAACCCACCGCCAACGCCCAGTCCCCCGGCCTCGAGGTGTTGACCCGCAAGGGCCTCATCAACGACGAAGAGGTCGCGGAGGCCATCTCCCCTGGCGGCCACGTTACCAAGCGGCGAGCCCGCACACGCCCCGTGTCTTCCGAGTTGCTCGATTCGGTGCACAATACGCCCGCTGCCTTTCATACTCAGGTGAGCCACTCCCTTTGTGGTGTTTTAGCCACATCGTGGCTGATTGCCGCGGACCAGCAGGCCACAACTACCCCACGCATAAATGAGAGCAAGGGCGCTAGCACCGTCGCTTTTCCTTCCGCTCGCACCATGCGTACCCGCACAAAGTCCAACTCTTCCACGACATCCTCCGAGTCCAGCTCGCCACGTCGCCGACTTCACGCCACTGCTAGTGCAAACCCTCGTGCTCGCACAGAGTCGCATACAGGCCGCACATTGAATCGCCTTCAAAGCTCCAGTTCTGCCACCTTGTTCTTTGGACCCGCTATCACACGGAGCACCACTAGCGTCAACAAAGGCTCCGCGAAGCGAACGAGCAGAGCACCGCCAACAACGAACTCTCCCATTCCGCCTTTGTTCCTCCAACCCGACACACCGTCCTCCCAACGTCCTAAGATTGTCAGTCGACACAGCTACGCAGGTTCGGACGTGCCTTCCTGGGCTTGGGAGAGCAGGTCGCCCGCGGCTGTGGCGTCATCGCCACCGCCCGCTGCTGGACGGAAACGCTTGGAGAGCGACTCCTCCGAAGATGAAGCAGACCTATTCTTCAACAGTGGTCCTGCAGACTCATCGTTCGCAATCAGCCTGCAGAACGGCGGCACACCAAGTCCAAAGAAGAAGCAGAAACGCGAGAACCTCGAGCCACTGCCGAAGAAGTTCCGTCCACGCGACTCCGGCGTCGTACTCGACGACAGCGACGAAGACCTGGACATCCCTCTCGACGATGCAACAGACTTCTTGACGGCTGCGATGCCTCGAGCGTCGACGTCGGTCAGCACAATGGGGTCCTCGAGCGACGATCTTGTCACGCCTGGGTTTGCTCCTTCTGCTACCTCTGGGTGGCCATCCATCAACATCGCCAGCCACGACGATCAACACTCGCACGGCTCCCTGGGTTCTCACACAGGGATTAGCCGTGGGGTAGACGCTTTCATCTTGAAGACGCTCGTCGCCGGTGGCTCTGTATCCACCCGCGGAGACGCGGAGCCGAAGCGTGTTCCGGGCACTCCGGTGAAGAAGATCAAGACTGCACACCTAGTTGGCGGTGTTCAACGCCCATGGCAGAGCGCTGTGGCGCACAAGATCGGGTTCAAGGACTTTGAGGACGGATCCGACGCGGGCGCGACTGGCGCCGGGAAGGGCAAGAAACCGAGGAAGAGTCTGCCTGCTGCTTTCCCCGGCCTAGGGCGAATGCGAGAGGCGAAGAGTGCGCGGAAGGAGCGGCAGCAGCTGATGGGTCCTCCAGTAGAGGTAGACCCGGATGAGGCGGAAAGTCCGACGCTCGGGAGGGACGGCAAGTATTCCGGGCTCGGACTCGGTCGACCAACGTCGACATTGTCGCCATTCACGCGACCGTCAGGCGATGGGCGTATCGGACGGGCGAGCTGGTTGATGCGTAGGACCAGCAGTGGTGCGTTCTCGAGCTCAAGCGAAGCGTCTTCCGTGAACGCGACGCCTACGAGACTGAATTCGCAAGGTGCGCATACATCCACATCACATATGGCTTTTCATGCTGATGAGTTTATAGAATGGGCGTTGCCACCACCACGGGTACCGACGCCTGCATCGCCACTCAAGCACAGTGTCGGGACAGCTAGCCGATCAACGTCTGGTTCCTCTTCATCTACGGCTACCAACTCGCCCACAGTCAATGCTGCTGCAAAGGTTACATTCGCTGTCCCGCGTGAGCGACGCGCCAGCCAGAACCTCTCTGGGCTGCGCACACCAGGCTCCGGGCTTTTCGCCGGACTTCACGCCCCTCGACCCCATACTCATGCTCACCCCGCTCGGCAATCGCAACCCCAAGCGGCTATACGACGGCTCTCCGCGCCCTCCGATGAGGAGAAGCCGGGTCGCTTTGTACAAGAGTTCGTGGAAATCGACGAGGTCGGGAGTGGGGAGTTTGGACGTGTGTTGAAAGTGCGCTACAAGGACATGTCGCGAGGCGATATCGTGTTTGCGGTAAAGAAGTCGAAGCGGTTCGAGGGTGCGAAACATCGGTGAGTGATCCACCGGATACGTGTCTGTCATGGGATGCCCTTCTGGGTCACGGCGTTATCGCCTGAGTCCCGTCGGAGGGCTTCCGCCCGGTTTCGCACTGCTATGTGTGCGCGGTGGAGGCGGACCGTCCCACTTACGTCTGTTTGTTCCCTACGCGAGACATCTTCTGATACGATTTGTTCATAGCCTCCGTCTTCGCGAAGAAGTCGACATCCTCAAGCACCTTTCTGACGCCGTCATGCGCTCTACGGACGCGGCGGTCCGCGCTTCCGGCCGACACCCGAATATCCTCGGATATGTGGACAGCTGGGAGGAGGATGAGACGCTGTACATCCAGACGGAGCTGTGCGAGCTCGGAAACCTGGCGCACTTCCTGTGGGAGTACGGGCGTGCGTTTCCGCGACTCGACGAAGCGCGTGTGTGGAAGATCACGGCGGAGCTGTCTGCTGGGCTGCGCTTCATCCACGACGCGGGCATCATCCACCTCGACCTGAAGCCGGCGAACATCTTCCTCACCGGAGAAGGTCGGTTCAAGATTGGGGACTTTGGGATGGCATCGGTGTGGCCGCGTCCGACGCCACCTGGCGAGGCGCAGCTCATCGCTGGCGCGAAGCCCGCAGGGTTCGAGCGCGAGGGCGACAAGCTGTACCTCGCGCCGGAGGTGCTGCAGGGCCGGTATGGGAAGGCCGCGGACGTGTTCAGCCTGGGGATGACGATGCTGGAGGCAGCATCGAACATCGTCGTACCAGACCAGTGCGTGTTTTGTGTGTTGTGTTTCATAGTGCAGTAGCTGATGAGCGACGCAGGGGCGAAGGATGGCACCGGCTCCGCCGGGAAGACTTCAGCCAGGTCGAGCTGGACGCTAGCCCGGAGCTATGGGAGCTGCTGAAGAGCATGATGCGCGCGGCGCCTGCTCTGCGGATTGGCATCACGCTCGTGGACACACATCCGGTGGTTCTCCGAGCGCGGCGGGCGATGGAGAAGATGCGGGCGCAGTGGGGCCCGGTCTTTGGGGCGTCACCTCTGGGCGCTGTCCCGGACGGGTTCCTGGACGATATCCTCGGCCGGGGGAAGCGGCACGGGAGCCTTGTGGACGATTCGGATGAGGACGACGAGGACTGGGACATGGAGCTAGGCGCGTGAGCGTGTCCCGGTCGTCGGTCGTTGCGTTGTGAGCACTATGCGTTTCTTCTCTTCTCTTGATTGCTATGCCGTTTCTTCGTCTTTGTGTCTTGCGTCTACAGTTAGCTATGGCTCTGCTCGATTGGATAGCCCAGACTGCCTACGGGGTCTTGGTTACGATATGATTAATGTCGCGATGTAGCAACAGTTCACGTTCAATGCCCCTCTCCGGTCTCCTCACTGCACTTTTCCACGATTCCGTCGCATCCTCACCACCCCCATATCCAACCTCATTCCCATGTCGATCGTCCCCGCACTACCCACTCGCACTGTCGCCGCAATTACCTCACGTCTTCCCTGCAATGCCCCCGCCTCCCCTCCTCGCCCTGGCTGCGAGCGACTATTTCCCGCCCGCGGACGATTGGATTGACTATATCTATACCGCGCTCGCAGCCGTTGGCACGTACATTCTCCGTCGTGATGATACATACACCCCCCGTTGTGTGGGGGACTATGGTACTTTTTCCCGTCCGCTTCTTGCAATATGTTGGTACAGTAGAAGACTTTTGGTTCGTTGTGCACATACAGCCGTAATCGTGAATGAAATACATGTTCGTAGTAGGATGCGACGCGCGTGAGTCAGAGGTATGAGTGAGCGCGCGACAGACGCGGGTGCGGGCCGGGGTCTCTTGAGGTCCCTCGGTGGGGAGGTTGGACCGTGTGGACGCTTGTGGACGATCGGGGCGGGCACGGGGTATAATAGAGCAGGCGGGGGGCGGGGCGGCGGTGCCGTTCCGTAGAAAGGCCGAGCAACGCCGTCGGGGCGGGCCCTCTCTGGCCCGGAAAGAGGGGCCCAGGCACCGGAGAGGACGACATAGCCGGGCGCATCACTCGTCGCTCGGCGTTCGCAGTGGGTGCGCCAGCGCGGGCGGGCTGATGAGCAACGGACGGCGTTCGCAGGGACCTCACAGGATGAGCATGGGAGGAGTCGTCCAGCGACGCCACAAGGGCTGCAGTTCATATGACCATACGAGTGCACGAACATGCCTGGAGTGTTGGAAGACCGGGGGACGGAGTAGCGGGTGGGGAGGGCGCAGAGAGTTGCAGTGGCGGACGCTGTTCGCGGGGGCGCGCTATGCCCAACAGGGAAGGGCCGCGGGAGACGGACAGCGTGCTAGCGGTTGCGAGCTCGCCCAGTCGACGCGGACCACCGCCCGAAGCCGCGCCACGAGTGCTCGCCGGGCACACCAGCGACGGGGCCATTGGATGACTTTCCATAAGCCTCTGCGGCTTTGCGGTCGTCCGTAAATGGTTGATCGAGTCTACCGGCCGAGATGCCGAGTCCGATTTGTACTCCGCCGGTCATAATCGTCGCCGTAGATGTTGAAGGCGCCGAACGTCTAGGAAGGGGGTCCCGACCCCCTCTCTAGACCTAAACGCGTCCGCAGACCGTCGTTCCTGACCCAAAAAGGCAGCCAATTCATGCTCCGCTCAGATCGCTATCTGAGGAGACCGCCAACGAGTGGGACGCCCGCCGTCCCTCCCTCAATTTCATCGTTGTTTCCTTCACCACCATATTCGTACCTCCTGGCGAGGTTACTGTTACTCTGCTTCACCTTCATCGCTTTTTCCTATCTTTCCTGCACTCCAATCTGCCATGGACCGCCCGGAAGACCAAGATCAGTACCCAAGATGGTCTCCCGAACATGCACGATGGTATCTTCCCTCGCCATCGCGCTCTGTACGTAAAATACTCGTCTCGCACATCTCCATTGTTC